CGCAGGCCCCCGCGGCCCACCTCCGCAGCGGTGCCCGCGCCTCCCGGGCCACGGGCTCCAGCCTCTCCAGCACCGCGGGCGCCGCGCTGCTGGTGGCGGGCGCCTGCGCCGCCCGCAGCCGCAAGGTCTCCACCTCCACGGCCGCCGGGCCGTACGAGCCATGCGTGGTCATATAAAGCAGGGGCCGCAATCTCAGGTCTGCAAGTCCTTCGAGAATGAGCTGGGCACCACCCTTCCCATGAAGTACTTCGATCCCCTGGGCATGGCCAAGGACAGCTGTGCTGCGCTGCGCTAGCCGAGCAGCGTGCAAGTTCGCGATGCAGGAGGACGATGCGGAAGACTTCCGCCGCCGCCGAATGGCAGAGATCAAGAACGGCGCCTTGGCCTCCAAGTAGGTTTTCCGAGAAAGAAGTGCAAGAGCTCCTGGCTAGTGCCAGTTATGCCAGACGTACATGCGCAGGCTGTGCATGTATGTCTCAGACGGCTCAGGACGCGTGGCCATGCTTGCCACCATTGGCTATATTGCTCCAGAGTACTTCCGACTGCCCGGCTACTGCAGCCCCTCCGCAGGCCTGGGGTGGGCTAGGTTCGTTCGTTTCCGGCGAGGTTCTAGGACGGATACGAGAAAGTCAGCTTGCCTCTTTGAGCAAAAGCCGCCTGTGAAAATGGTCGCAGATCGTCCTGAGCTCCACTGCCCAAGAAGTCAATCGAAGCACCGCCCTGCGCGAACCTGCTCTCTGCCTGCCTGCCTTCGCCTTGGCAGACCTCAAGTTCGCGGACATCCCCAACGGGGTCCAGGCCCTCTACAAGATGCCCGCGGAGGCAGCGTGGTCCGCATGGCAGTAGTCAGTGCCGAGCTGGCATCGGGACTTTCTGTGGAAACTCACAATCTCTTCCCCTGCGATGGCTTATTCGGTGGCAAAAGACAGGGTTACACTTATGCATCCTTAGTAGAGTCGAGCCGTATGCCACAGCCTCACCCACAAGCACGGCCAGCAATCATGTAGAAGCGTAAATGATTCGTAACAGTATTCCGCTATAGTCCCTTCATGTTACACCTCTAGCTATGCTGTAACATAAACCAACACCCTGTTCTAATTATGAAGGCCCGTTCGTGGGCTTAACAGTCAGGGACTTCCCTGATGGAAGCACAAACACTCATGCCATATGTGGAACCTGTATACACTCTAGTATACACTACTCTTATGAATTGTACAAAGCACTCTTGCAAAGCCCGAAGCAGCTGCGCCTTGCCTTCGCAACAGGGCTGGGCGCAGATCGCCTGTTTCATCGGCTTCCTCGAGCTCTTCGCCATGAGGCGAGGAGTGTTTGGACCTCCCTTCTGCTTGTGTTCGTATATTCAGGATCCTCATCTGGGCTGAGGCAAAAGTCGTCAGAGTACATCTTCAGCAGATCTCGAAACCTGCAAGAACCGGAACCCTCAGCTTTGCGCCCCCTAGGCCTTGGAGTGGAGATAAGGAGGTACTCATAGCAACTTTTTGCATTCCCTAGCCCCAAATCCCAAACAGCAGTTCAGGCAGGAGAAGGACCGCGCTCCGGGCGACTTCGTGGGCTTCTCCAAGCTCGGCCTCCCGGGTGGCAGCGCGCCGATGGCGCCTGAGCATCATGTGGTAGACACTCTCTAGCTCGATAATGTGTATGTGTATGTGTGTGGATATATATATATATGCATATATATATATATATTTTTTTTGCATGTATATGTATATGTATATGTATATGTATATGTATATGTACAGACAGGGGGTTTTGGATACTGTCGCTTCAGGAGCCCCGACGGGGTCAAGGGTTGTGGGCTCGGATTTTACGGGGTTGAACTTAGGGTGTAGGGAATCATTCATATATACACATATATGTGTGTGTGTGTAAATATTTACATAGTGTGCGTAGGTATGTATGTATGTAGGTAGGTAGGTAGGTAGGTAGGTGGGTAGGTAGGTGGGTAGGTAGGTGGGTAGGTAGGTAGGTGGGTAGGTAGGTAGGTAGGTATGCCTGTCCGTATGTCTCTATGTCTGTGTACATACATACACACCTACATACATACATACATGCATGCATGCATCCATCCATACATCCATACATGAATTCATGGGTCCATGCATACATTCATACATGTCTTTGTCAATGCATGGCCAAGGCGTGCACAAGATCTTGTCGGCAAGTACGCCCCAGCATAGAGTCATAGACCAAAGGCATTCAACGCTAGTGTACCCCCCAAAACCTGTTAATATAGGGGTTTTAATAATTACCTA